CACCTCTTAAAATCTCAAGACATCTTGATCAAAACTTTTGACCGCTAACAATAACAATCGCAAGACCTCATCATTAATCTGCATATGCAATATTTAACTAACAGTGAAGAGAAACCAAAACATATAACTAACAGTTGTATTTCAATATCATGTTTTGTTTATGCTAAAATACTTTACCACAAAAAAAAGGACAACCTACGCTTAGAGATGGATAGAAATAAACATGATGACTGTGGTTGAGAATCTTCAAATAGACTGTGACTTACTCATCATATTCAACTTGTCATATTGTGATAGTTTTAAGATATTGTGATAATTTTTAGAAAAATTGTGAGAGAGATTTGAGAGATTGAGAGAATTTGAGAGAGATTGAGAGAAATTGAGAGGGATTGAGAGAGTTTTAGTGAGAAAAATGTGTGGGGAATGGGGGGTATTTATAGAGAAATTTTTGAGTTAAAAATTTAATTTTTTTCCCCAAATTCGGATCCAACAGTCACTTTTTGTCTCGGCGGGTCGGGTTCAGGCGGGTTCGGCTGAAATTTGGGCAACGGTCAATTCGGGCAATTTTCGGGCTTCGGGTTCTGCCAATTTGGGCAATTTTCGGGCTTCAGGTTCGGGCAATTCGGGCCGGAGTGAAAAAATTCAAAAAAAATTCTGGCGGACGCTAGTTGACAGCTTTCCATCGGCGACGGGCTCCGACGACTCCGTCCATTTTCGGGCAGCCCGAGTCCAAATTTTTACTTGGACGGGCAGCCTTATAGGCCTGCCTGCCGAGCCCGAAAAATTTGGGCCTCGGGCAGGCCCACCGGCCCAAAGTTCTAGGACTATGTATGTATGTATAGACACACTAAGAATTAGTTTGGCTGTAAAGTAGGATGTCAACCAATTAGATCTTTTTCATGTGTAATCGTTTTGCATTCCTCCAACTCACATGAAAGAAATGAAGAAACAAAAAAGATTATACTAATTTGACATGAAGAAACAGACAAGATTTCCTTGATAATTTGGGATTAATTAGAGAATTTGGGATTAATTAGAGAACTTTTATTCCGGAAAACTAATAAGAACACGTGAGCAAAGGAATAGAAAAGAAGAACAGCTTGTCATGGATAGGATATTATAGGTGCACGATTATCAATGTAATTGCATTTAAGACGCATGCAGGCTCCACATGTCTGGCCAATGTTATCCAATCATTCTTAATAGGAATTTTCTTTCTTTTCTTTTTGCTTTATAAGTTATATACACACATAATTTTATATGTATATATGAGAAGCTACAGTAATAACTATAGCAGACTATCTCTAATATAAATATTAATTTTAATTATATATTTATTATAAAAAAAATAATATGATATTTTTTTTTATCGGCGTATGATATGATATCTTTAGTAGGATAGAAAAAAAGAAGAAAATAAAATGATAATTAGGTAGAGCATAATAATATAACTTGTTTAACTTTGATCTCATATTTTAACCTTGAAAATTTGAAGTGTTTTTTTTATTTTTTTTTTATTTTTGAAAATTTGAAGTTGGAAGTTAAGTCAACTAGTTGAAGTGTTTTCTGTTGGACAATTTCCTAGATATTATTGTAATCTAATAATTTAGGTCATCTTATACGTGGTTTATATTGGGAATAGTGTCCTAGAAACATGAGATGTAAAATGATATTTATTATTTATTTAATAAAAGAGTTTATTCATCATTTTATGTGCATATATTTATGAATATTTTATGAATATCAAATAAAATTCATTGATTATTTATGTAACCTTAAACATGGTATATAAGTGTTGTATACGAGAGGATAATGTTTAAGGATAATAATCAAAAGTAATTGTTCATAATGAATTTAATTAAAGTTCGGAATCTTTAATTAAAACATTATTAATACATGTCATTCCCATTTAGAATGGAACGGTGTTATCCGCACTGTTAATATGGCGAGATATTGAATGAGTGTATTTCGCATAATGAGATTATGTGGAACATGGACACAGGCACAATATGAATTTCTAATAATTTCCATTATGCATAGAAATTCTAATTGAGTTTACTGATGGTCATATATAGGATGATCTTAATCATGAGTTCTTAACAAACTCCTATTTATGGATTTACGTCTTTTGATTTACTCGGTACGGATTCCGAGACCCTGAATC